GAGGGCGAGTACGAGTCACTTCTATACAAATTTTCAAGCTACCAAATCAGGTTATTGACCTGTGGGTAAACCTGAGCCAACAATATCTATCCAACTTAAAAGGGTGTCTTCTGCCATAATTATTTTATAATGCTGCAGGATCTTGGATGAAAGGACACAAATGTTTCTATTTATACCACTGAAAATGAAGTGTGCAGCCCAGTGTTCTTAGAGAACAATCAGATTCTCATTACTTAACCAGTACCTCAATTTTCACCTCCTTTGTAATTCCTGTCCCGGCCCATAAATTATGGCTACTTCAAACCCTCTCACTTATTGCACCTTCCTGAACTGGTGGATGATCTCGCTTGTATACCCTACCAAGACCAAAAGGCATCCTGTTTTGTCCTATATGGCTGTTCTTACTCCATCTTCTTATCATCTTCAATGTATTTTTGTTTTGCTTTGCATTGACAACCTAACATTGTTTTCAAAAACCGAGCAGAAATAAAAGCCCTACAAGAAGGCATATTGTCAAGCTGAAGGAGAAAAGGCTTTATGGCTCCCCTAATGCTTCACATAAAGCAACAAGGAACATTGGAAAGTTAGCTGTAACGTCTAAAATTTTAAAGTGCAGCCTATTTGCATAGAAGATGCATGTTGCTATTTCAGTCGCTACAGTTCACATGCAACTGTTGGACTGAACTACTTACAAGCAAAAAATAGATCTTCCTAGTCTGTGTGCTTCAGATACTGAAGTGTTTAAAAAAAAATAAGAAAAAAAGTACGGCTGAGGGAAACTCGAGCCAAATGAACCACCAAATATTTCACATGAATGGCAAGGAAAGTGCTGCCGGGAGCTGAGTGGTCTAACTAATCCAACAGCAGGGATAATATATCAATTTTTTTTCCCAGTATTTGGGTACTTACTGGGCAATTCATCAATGCAGCAATACACAATAGCATTTAGTGCATGATCCCTTTTCTAACTTACCAACAAAATACCATCAACCCAGTGTACAGAATGCCAAGCACGTGCCACAGTGGGAAAAAGGCACATATGAAAAGGTGATGAAACTGATACGCATCAGCAGAACTGGGCTGAAAGAGGTGGAGACCTTGGGAATGTGCTCTGGCCCTTCAGAAGTTAAGGTCTCTCCAGCCTCTTGAGAACCGGGATTGGCTTGCGATGCTTCTAAAAGCCATTCAGCAACACCTCCAAAAGTATCTGGAACCAAGAAGCCAGAATGGGGACAACACAACTGCAAAGAATAGCATTAATGAGTAGGAAAAAAAAACAGGACAAGATAAGAACCCAGATACGTAACAAACTTCTAATGGCCTTTTCTTTAGCTGTCTGTATTCTGCCTATGAGCTCCAGATTCCTCTAAGATGCAAGAGCATCCAGCCTTCATAGCATACTTACACTGTTTCCCAAATGACTACGGTCACAAGGTTTCTATAAAAAAAAGAAAAGCCTTTTTCCTGCCTGTCATTGTAGATGTCACATTTGACTGTCTTTATATTTCATAATACAATAGCCAGATGCTGCTTCTGCCAAAAACCCAAATCTTCCGGGTATTCCAAACTGTAATAGCTTACACAACTATCAGGTTATTCTTTTCCTTTTAATAGTCTAAGACACTGAAAAGAGTAGAAAATGTGTTGCCCACTAAGTACTATGTAACGACTCCAGCCAGTGTACGCAATTTCATTTCATACATCCAGCTCTCTAAGAAAATCATGCTTCACCAGCTGAGTAAAGGAGCCATTTTCACGTCCGTTCCCTTTTCTGAAGCCACTGAAGGAAAATCAGAGCGATGCACTTTTTAATGACTTTGGCATAACTAAAAGAAAACTTCACTCTATAAAAGGAAGCCTGGTTTCTCTCCTTATTTGGCAGTAAAACATGTACTGATTGTGAACATGGCTTGAATACAAAGTACATTGTAATTGAGCTGTATAAGCATTTCAGTTTTAAGATGGCACTTCTAATTTTTCTCTCTCCGTTGTATGATCCAAAGATTGTGATGACTTAAAATTCAAAGTTTCCAGTTGTTTACAAAGCAGACTTAGACAGTTGAAAAGCTTATTGTTTAGGAGCCATTATTCATCCACAAATTAAAATAAAAATAAGCAGCAAGGGTTATACATTGCTTTCAGTGATATTTAAGTGCTAAGCTATTGTACTATTAGTTCATTTATTTTGAGAAAAACACCTTGGAACAGCAAAATTCCTATTGTACATGGGGTGGCAGTCAGTCTAGTCCAGTGTCCTCTCCCTTAACATCGCTTCAACTAGCCATTTTGAATAAAAAATCCTGTTCCAGTCTGTTTTGAGATAGGATGTCCCAAGGGAGTTTTCTCCTATTGCCCAATAATTTGGAGACTGGCCTGTGTCCTAAATCCTTTCCAAAAGCCGTCCTTTTGGGTTTTTTGTTAACAAAAAAAAATATATATAAATATGTATTGCCAATCCTGTTGTGTCTCTTCTAGACTTTACTAAGCTCTTGGCCATACCATTGCCCCCATGGGATATTTCTTTTCCACAGGGCTATGACAAGGCAAAGTAAATGGCAAAATTTAAAAAAGTAACTGGAAAAATGAATAGAAAAAAATAATCATCCGTTACCCTTAAATGAGCAAGTCACCAACTTTGGCTGTGGAAATTCCCCAAGCAAAGGTCACAGGAGGCTGAGAAAATATCGTAAGGAAGCACCACTACCCGCCTCTTCTCTGCTTTTCCGGGCACATGGGCTGTAGAGGGAGCAGGACATGGGATGACAGCTTAGATGGGCTTCAGTCTCGTCTCACCTGCCTCTGCTTATACAAGGTGTTTCAGCCCAGAGGATTCCATCATTCTAACTACAGGGATAAACCTCACCAGCATGATCACATCTTACACACCTTGGGCATAAAATGAAAGTCAATGGGAAACTGTGTGTCAAATGGGCAGAGCAGATGGTACATTTACTGGTTTAGAGAAGACTGAGTTACTGAAACACTAAATCTGAAAGATCAGGCTAGAGATCTTCACATTAGATACAATTTCTCTCTCAACAGGTGGATGTAGAGCTGGAAATTTACCCGCAACGCAAACAGAAGGCTAACTGCTTTTTGATCAGCTTTAGACACAAATGTAATGAATTTTTACCAAATGCCAATATTACCCAGAGACTTCTGCAGCTGCTGGCTTGAGCCCTGTCTCTACAGTTCTCTGGGCTATGGAGGAGAAGGGGGGCCACTGTATCTCCAGGACAGAAATTCTGGGGAGCTGCCAAGGGGCAATGTGAAAGGATCCATTCATCCAGTGGTCAGCAGAGAGAATGCTTATGGGACTCAGGGACTACACAACCTCGGCAGACAGGGATGATAAAACTGCACTCGTGTCCCACATGATATTCCCTATTGCACAGAGAATTTATGGTAGACATCCAGGAAAAAAAAAAAAAAAAAACCGGCAACACGTTGCAATAGGCTAAAAGGTATTTAATTGTTTATACAGTCAAAGGGAACCACTGAACTAATAAATGGGTTGTTATTACTGTGAGGGGAGGACAAGTGGCACATTAGCTCACTTTATTATTAAATTAATACCAGATTAGTGTGTTTAATTGATCTAAATTGTTCTAACCCAGCTGAGGTTGGCATGTTCGAACCAGCTTGATGCAGGCATGTCCTAATTCATTAGTTATTTTCCTTAGCCAGCTCAGGGAACTTCAGAAGAATCAGGTGCACCAGAGGAGCAAAAAGGCATAAGAGACCAACTGCTTTTCCCTGGCCATTTCTTTTCCCTTTTCTGCTTTAACTCTGCTGTCGATCACTATTGCCAGCTGGAGCAGAGCCTGCCAATCACTCTGACACTCTGCATTTCCCAAACCAGAGACTCTCCTGAGAAAACTGTTCACTCGGACTTAAATATTATTCCTCACAGCATTATTTTTTACTACTTGCTATAGAATTTCTGCATGCACAAGATGAATGCTCGTGAGGACTTCATTTAAACAGGAACATGACAGAATTGATAAATCTAGTGACAAGAGCAGCCAGAAAGTGAGAGAACCCTGTGTGTTATTCTATTCACCCGCTGAGCTGAACACATGACTCGATGTGTCACATTTTCTATGTACACTATCTGAGCCCAGCCTTACGGTATGCTTGACATTTTACAGAATAAAGAGATGACCTTGTGACCCTGGGAGAATAAAATAATATTTTTAGGTGCAAAGCCACTGTGAATCAGCATATGGAGTTGCTGGAACTGTTGCAAGGCTGCTATTACAGTACGAAACTAGCAATAAAGAGGAAAAGCAAAACTATCAATAAAGAGAAAAAGATGACCACTGCAATCAGATGGGAAAGATCTTCTACCTGCACAGGTTGTTCAAATCTTTGGAAACATGGTGTTTGGTCACTGCTGCTCCATCAAACCACAAAGCTGTGACTACTACTCATGCATTGTGGGAAACACACACATGGTTCTCTCTTCTCTGAGACCTATGCATGGCAGATGAAGAGGGACGTTGACCCAAGGACTTCAAAACTGTAGTTGGTCATCATAACCTTGCAGCCACCATCGTCACCCTCACTAGCATGTGCAGCCTGGTAAAGGCTTCCACACCTTGTAGAGATACTCTGCTTGCCCAAGGCTTTGCTGCCGACCCCAGCTAGCGCAGGACTCGGTTACCAGCATGGCTGGGGCCAACTAGGGCAAGGAAGTGCTGTTTTGCAGGGCAATTACTGCTTAGCTCCCAAAACATCGATCTGTGCCAAGCCCCAGGGAGGGAGCAAGCATCAGTCTGCTTAGTATCTCCCTCCCCACAAAAGCATCTTTGCAATCCAACTCCAGTGAAGAAACATTCCGGACCAATAAACAACTATCCTCTGGAGAGGGTTTCCTCCTCGTGTGCTTCCCTTTCCCAGACCAGGGATTTCTTCACTCAGATAACGCTGGAAAGCCATCACTACGCAAAAACTCTCCGTGTCATAGTTAAAATAAGCTGAGAAAAGGGCCAGCTTACCTTGCGTTGTCTCTCCCATGTGATTTCAAGAAGTTCATATCACGATATCTGGACAGGAATGCTACTAGCTGGTCATTTGTCCTGCAAGGGAAAGAACAAAAGATGCACAAATTACACTGTGAAAATCACTATGTCTAGAGTAATTTATATCCTTATTGTTCTCATTTGGGGACCATCCATGGACTCTTTGAAGGAGGCAGCTGCTGAAAAAACTTCCATCCTGCTGGTAAACTTCACTGCCTCCCTCTACTCAGGAAAGGGTACTTGGAAAGCAGCATAGCTTTATTACATCATAACGAATTTCTTATCAACTCTTGACAGATGTTTTAAGCATTGTAACAGAGTTTGTATTAAGTAATACTGCTCAGCACTTCTTAGGTATGAAAATCCAGCTGTGAGATGGCTGCATTGATAGTCCCATTTTACATACTTTGCTAGATCTTTCCTAGGGAATTTGGTTAAGTATCTATTGGCATTTTATTTGTTTTCATCCTTGTAATAGAGAAGAGGCCAAGGTTGGAATGCACAAAGCAAGAGAATTTGGATGTCAAAATCCCAATATAATTAATAGGAACACAGGAATTTAGAAGGTTAATTCCAATTAGTATGACTGGCAATCTGACACCAGTATTTCCAAAATTTCAGCTAACATGTCCAAGAATGTATTTACGCTTGGCAGCTTTTGTGGTCTGTTATTTCTTTAACAATGGAGCAAAAAAAGCTCTCTATTTATGTAGGTCAGCATACTTAGGAAAATTGAATAAATCATGTTAAAAGGATCTTCATCTACTGTGTTGCATCCAAAACCACAGCATTATAGGTACAACACCATTTAAGCAATGATCTGTAATGGAGTTTATGGCAGAAAAACTAAGATAAAACAGTTGCCAATAGTACCGAATCTTGAAAACATCTCATTATTATAAGCCATAGGAACCCAAGTTAAACTAGAGTCTTGTACAAAACGCGTTTAACTTCTGCGGTCAGGCTGCAACAACTTGGAAATGCTATCAGCCTAGTAAACTATCTTCATACCTCATAAAACCAAATGCTTCTGTCATCACAGGTAGCATTTCATTATTGAACTGATGAATAAAGAACATGTTAACCATTGATTTTATCTGGACCAAATGAAGTATCTGCCCATCAACCAGCCTGAACGATCAGGCTGTAGGAGCCTGAGACCCTCCTTCTATGCTCACTCATGTGAGTTGTAATACCTCCCAGGGTCAGACTCTGCATCTCAATTTAGCAACCTCAGAAAACTGCTTTCTGTATAGTAAGCTGTGCAGATTTTCACATTTGCTGCTCCAGTGATTCCCCATCTTACTGGGATGAATAGGCATTTAGTGAATTTACTTAGCAATGCTTCCACATGAAATGGTTTCAATGGCTGACATCTTCGGGTGAGTTTCTAGGCAAAAACTGGCACGCAAAGATGATCTTTAGAAATATAACCAAGTTTGGAAGTGCTTGAGCTTTAATTTCCTTACAGGATAAAAATCAAATCAACTGAAGTAACAATCCACTCCACTCAATAAAACATCATCATTTCTAGATTGCTTATCAACCTATATTTTGCTATTTAGCAGTGCTCTACCAAGTGTATTTGGACTTGGGGCTGCCATGTAAACTTTTCAATGCTTCTCACTTTTTAGACAATACTCATAAAATACCCATGTGATTTTTAGCTCTCAAAATTCCCACCTCTTGAAAACATTGGTGTCATCTTGGTCCTACTTTTAATTATTTATTTTTTTTTAAAAAAAAGAACTTCGAATTTTACTCTGTCAGTTAAGTATGCTTCTTTCCATCTGTTGACAATATGGAAATAAAACATCACATTTCCATTTGGTAAAACTTTCGAGTTATTTGACATTTAGATTTATGCGGTCAACCAATTCTGTGCTCAGCATGGAAGCACACTGAATTTCTATTAAGCTTTCATTCAAACTGCTTCTTCTGGCCCCAATTTCATGAGGATGCTGCACATCACCTCCGAATTATTCCACCACATGACATTAAAAAGAAAATCAAAGGTATTGAACATGCCATAGATGCTAATGCAGCTGTTAAAATCCTCCCCACCTTTCAGAAAACTTTGCCTTCAGGGGTATATTTCCTAAATGCCTCCAGCACAGATTGCTACCACACTTCTTTATGTACAGCAGCGGCAGAGTCTCTACACCACGGCAGTGCCTCTGGCAGCAGCTATTTACAGTGCCTCTGGCACTCCTTCTGAGAAATACTAAAGATATGGGCCCATTTTTTTTCCTCTAAATAAGGCAATGGAAAGCTGAGGTTTTCAGCTGAAGACATCACTGGGAGTAACATCAACTCCACACTGCCAAATTAAATTCTGCTTCAGCTCCACAAATTTCAGGGATAATTCACTGAGCATACATCTGGCACAAAATCTTTTATTAACCATCAAGGTATAACAGAAAGTAACAAGTGCAACATCCTTCTAGTATTTCCTTCCTAAGAAGGAAATAAAAAAGTCATGGGGATAGGGAGATTAGTTCGTGCTACTGATTAAAACTCACTAATATACATATTAAATTCCTATCAGCTTCCCTAGTGCAACACAGCATGAATACTGATTGAGGAAAGAGTCTTTCCACAGTTGGTGTGTGAGGCTGGAACTGATGCATCCACACAGCTATGACTTTTATTTCCTTTTATTATTAAAATCACTCAGAGGGCGAGGCACCAGGGAGAAGGATTAATCAGCTGGTTACCTGTGCCATTAGCCAGGGAGGGTGATGTGAGAGGAGAGAGGCTGAGAGAAAATGTGCAGTTTTCAGGTGTGCAGCAGGCAGAGAGAAATAATCCTCCAGTGAACTCAAAGTGTGGAGAAAGCCTGTGTGTGTGGGAGGGCTTTCATGAGACGGTGACAAGTGAAGAAGACTGATGGGGAAACAAAGCGGTTTTGATTTCATTGATGTAGATCTGGTGTTAGGCAAGGGCCAGCTGGGACGGAGGGGTCCATCTCCATCACAACTTTACTGACGTCAACTCAACAAGGTCCTGCTGCTCCCCTCCTACAGCAAGCGTGGAGGAAAGTAGCAGGGGCAGTGCACGGTGCCTGCCTGCTGAGATGCCACTCAGCACATCTCAGCCCAGTGTCCCTCAGGGTTGGGCTCAAAGGATGAGAGCACTCGGCCGGGCAGGTGGGGGGCTCCACACGCTGCACAAGCAGCTCTGGGGCTGCTGGTGACTCAACCCTCGGCACTGAACCTGGGGATATGGCTGAGCCTCTGGGCTGGGGCTCAGCCCTGGGTTAGGGGCAAGATTAGAGTTAGAGGTCTAAGGAAGAGAAAGGGGAGTCCTATAGCAAGAAGGGAACTCAGAAGATATTTCCAAAGCAAAGCAAGGCCTGCTACCAGTGTTTTCTCATGAGCAGCCCCTGGTCTGGAACTGAGGTGTCCCAGGGCATAAACAGGCTAACCTGGTGCTCAGTAAGCACACGCACATGCTGAGCATTGCAATAATTTCAGAATATAGTGTATACACTGGGAACTGAAATGGAAAACTGGAAAGACAAACACTGACTTTGTGTTTGCATTGTCTGAACACGCTGGCAGGTCTGCTCAGGAAGTGGCACGAGTGTGTCCCTGCGTACAACCACAGCCCAACACTGCTGAGAACCAAAGGCAGTGCTGGGCTTGCTGGTTTTAAGCAAACCCTCTGAGTTCTGGTGACTAATCCAAGCAATGAGCAGAGATCCCCTTAGTTTACAGCTGTGAAAATAGATTAAGATAGTCTTTGGAGAATCTGAGAAAAAGAAAACAAGCGATTGTTACTTTTGGAAGACAGCGAAGGCTAATCTAAATGTCCTCGATTCAGCAAGGTACTTTAACGCATGGGCAACTTGAAGGATGTCAGGAATAGCAGTCACTTCAATAGGACTATTCATAAGTCAATACTTATACAATTGCATAACGATATGGCTAAGATAGATCAAAAGGTCAGAAACTTTTGGCAGCACACAGGTATAGAAACAAGATAGTTTGAGTCTGTGTAGGAACCAGATGAAGGAAAGAGCAACTGCTGTGTTGGATTCTGGGGTTGGACTCTGCCTTTCTGGTACTGCCCCTGGGTGGTCAGAGCCTGGTGTCCCACTCCAGAGGGGTATTTTGGACATGCTTGTTTCAGACTCCGTGAAAAGTGCTAGGGGCTGCAGTGCATCTGCATGCCAAGTACAGATCATCTCTCTGTCTCCTAGTTACTTAATTTCTGATCTATCAGAAAGGGAAGGCTAAATAAATGGTTTCAGATGTTATGAATATATACAGTATTTCTGCTTGGAAAGCAGCTCTCATACTGGAGAATTCTTCTGTTACTGGTGCAAGGTTTGAGTAAATCTATGGAATCTCTCCTGTGGTCTCTCTGGGCTTTAGGCTTCTCTAGGCAACTTCATTCTCTTCAGCCCTGCTTCATTAGCAGTGCCCAGGAAGAGCTTTTACTGCACTGGCTCTTGCCAGGTCATTCACAGCACTTCATTCACCAAGAATACCCCATGTTGTCCCAATTGTCATGAACTTACCCTGAAATACATGCAGAGACGTGGGCTAGGGACAGCTGCTAAACTGAACCCAGACTAAATTCCATTTTTAAGCATTTTTTTCTGGCATTATTTTCTTTTCTTCTTTTTTTCCTGTATGCCTGCTCTTACATGCAAGGATCAGCACTGAGAAGTGGATTCTGCTACCCCTTCCAGGCAGCTGTAACTCACTTTAATCACAAATGTGGTTACTTGTAAATTACAATGTTGGAATATGAAAAGGTGGAGCAAAATAATTAAAATGTGGCTTTAAAGTTGTTTAAACCAATTTGTGCTCAGTCCTGGTTGCACACTTCTCCAGAAGTGAAGGGCAAAACCTACTGGAAGCAACAGTATCTTGGCCTCTTAGCAGCTTCTCTCCCCAGGCACTAATATGATTTGAATATAATATTTGCCTTTTGTGCTTTTGTTCCTGTTTTAGTCTTAATGTGTGGAAGAGTATTTTTCTCACGCATTTTCTAATATGACAGGTTAAAAAAAATAACAATACCTTTTTTATTGCTACATACATGGG